ACTTCTTAAATCTACTGCCATTTCAGAAACAGCACGAAGTTTTCTGCCTGATGAAATGAGGCTGATAATTTCTGCTCCTCTTTCCTCTTTCACTGATTTCAGGAAAAATGCAGACTAAGAGCTGAAACTCTTTGAACTGTCTGGAAGAAAAAATCCCATTTAAATCCTCTGTATTATTAACCAAACTCTAAACTTGAAAGGCTTAGTTTTGCTTTTACACTTCAAATCCACCATGTTCCTGGGCAGTTTGAGCCTGACAAATCGTATTCCCACCCATCTCTCTCAACTGCTCCTGATCCTACTGAAGCTGAAGAGAATATGACAGGAGCAAGCTCAAGGAAGGAAATGGGGGGGGTGTGCTGTCAAGGGAAATCCAATATCTCAAATATACTAATACTTTAAAAAAAAACAAGTAAATGGTTAAAAGTGGAAAGGGATCGATGTACTCTACCTAGAATAAAATGATTACTAGTATACATATACATTATAGTATACATCTACATATTATTGCCAACTTTCATTGCAGACTGTTTCATTCCCTCATGGGACATCTTTAGAAAATGTATATACAAAACCTGTTTTCACTACCACTGGTTGCATTTTTCAGCTCTCTTCTCCACAGTGACACTCAATATCTTTGTTCTAATGTAGACTCACAATGCATCTAAATTATTTACACCTAAGTGAAGAAGTTGAATGAAATTATACAAATATATGGAAAAATTACTGGGGAAAATAAAATAAAACTGCATTAATTTGTTATAAAGTGATCATTACTGCTGATCCCAACAGCTAAAGAAAATCCCATCATTTTGTCTTGCTTTGCGCTATGAAATTAATGTCTTCTCTCTACTATGTAAAATTAGAATTGTATAGACAAGTGACAATGCCACTTACAAAGAAGAAAGTGGACCTTATGCCTGTCTTCATCTCCAGCCCACATACAGAGATATAAGCAGTCTCCCTGAAGTTTTACTCATGACAGAAGAAAAGACATAAAAGTTTGATGACAAAGTCATTTGGAGAAATTAACTTTGGTTAATTTATCTGACCTTGCTTTAAAGAGGTGCAGCTGTGCTGAGTCCACAGACAGCTTCAGCCAAGCAGTACTTGAGTAGTGGCGCTTTAGTAAATGCAGATGGGCTGTTATGATTGTTGTTTCTTTTTCTACATAGAATGGAGCTTCCCTATGTCTTACCTTTCCTTTACCCCAACATGGTTTATCCATTTACCTAGAAACACCATTGTTTTGCATTTTATGAATAGGAAAATGGAGACGATAAAACTAGTTCAGCAACAGATTACCCACCTGTAAAAGTTACAAAATTTCACTAATTTAGTTGTGAGTGTGAATAATTTAGAGAACTTTGATATCATAACTTATAATAAGATATGCAGACTTGGTAACTATCTCTGTTTCTCTTAGAATTTCTGGTGTGTTTGGTGTCCTTCATATGCAAATAAATATCGGGGGTGGGGTGGATAGCTTCAGGATGGTGGCTAGTCACCAGAAAGACCAAAGTATGCATTAGAAGATTGGAGATTTTTGTTGCACCCACCAGTCTTCAAGGGATTTGAGCTACATTTTGAGTTGGCTACTTATTCAATCAATTATTCCTGCATAAAGAGTTATAAAAGCTCAAATACTTGGGGTCATTGAGCTACCAGAAAGTTGAACCCTGAGAGGTTCGTGGCGGATGGTGTTTTCAGAGACAGACCATGAAAACAATGTTATCTCTTCCCACATAATTTGCCTTATGCACTTAATGTGGCTGTTCATCTGTATCTTTTGTACTATTCTTTATTATAAGCCATAAATGTAAATATTTCTCTGAGTTCTGTCAGCCACTCTAGCAAATTCATCAAGCCCCCAAAGAGGTCATGGTAACCTTGAATTATAGTCAGTTAATCAGAAGCACTGGTCAAAACCTAGAGTGGATTAGCACCTGATATATGGACAGTTTTGCATGACTGAGCCCTATAAACTGTATGATCTGATGCTACATACAGTGTAGACATTATTACAATTGAATTACTGGACTAAGTTGTGCTTAGTGGAAACATCCTTGGTATCTGAGGAAATCCTTTCTTGTACACCCCTGGGGTTGAGATGTTGAGTGGTTCAAAAGCAGAAAGGAACCCTTTGATTTTTCCTCTTATCACTAAAAATTGATGCCAAAGTGGGATATTGCCATAGATAGGAAGGGTATTTTTCTCTGCTTTCACCTACCACTCAACACAACATTTATCCCACCAGACAAATGCGATGTTTTTCACAGCAAGAAATTCTTCAGCAGAGAACAATCCTGTCCTACAATACAATCCAACTCTAACGCTATCTAAGTGGAGATGCTTTTAGTTCCTAAAGATTAGGGATTCCGTCATAAAATAATGTCCCCTGCCTCAGATCCAGTCACATGCTCCAGGTTGTGACCTGTTGCTATAAATCAGATTCATCTGGACTTAATGAGCTAAAGTAGATGATACTCAGGAAGCACTATGTTTACTGGTTTATTACAAAAAATATTATAAATTATACTGGTGAGGATCCAGATAAAGCAATGCACAGGGAAAGGCGTGTGAGGGGAGCTGCATGTCTTCTCTCATGTCACACTCTGCTTTTTCATACACTCAGCCTCTGGAAACTTTGCAAACCCATTCTTGAAAGGCTTCTGTAAAGGTTTCACTACAATTTATAGAAGAACCACATCTTCTTTATCCAGTCTCCAACTGATGGGCAAATGGGATTTTTCCAAGTTTTAGTTATTACAAACTGTGTCTCTATAAACATGGGTGCACATATATCACTGTGATATGATTCTTCTAATTCTTTTGGAAAGAAACTCAGCAGAGGGATAGCTGGGTCGAATGGGAACGATAAGCCTAGTTTTTTGAGGTATTTCCATATTGATTTCCATTGTGGTTGCACCAGTCTTCACTCCCACCAACAATGGAGAAGGATTCCTTTCTCCCTACAGCCCTGCAATACTACTCAGCCATAAAGAATGAGAAATTAGGGTCATTCACAGGAAAATGGATGCATATTGTGGATATACTCTTAAGTGAAATAAATAAGTCACACATGTGTAAATACCAAATAGTTTCTCTGGTGTGAAAAACTATAACTGTACATAAGATCCTAATGGTATAACTGACAATGTGAAATAGGAAGGAAAGTGCTAATGGTGTAGGGGAAGTGGGAAGGGTGGGGGAAAGGAAAGAAGGGAAAAGAAAAAAAATATGAGAAAATGAAAAAATGCAAATAAAGTTTTTGTAAATAGGGAAGGGAGGAGAGGTTTAAGGGAGGGCAGGGGTAAGGGGAAAAAATGAAAACCAAGACTTGTCATGTAAAGGTACAAGATTCCAATGATGAATGTAACTGTACTGTATACCTAAAAAAATACCAATAAACTCAATGAGAGAAAGAATGTTTCATTACATAGGCATAGTTAATTGCATCACTGGCATTGGCCACTTGACCTCTTATTCTACTCTATTGTCTGGAGTTTGAAGGTTAGGCCTAAAACTTCCAATTCTTCAATCACCTTGTGACTGAAGCTGCGTGTCCCTTTGTTAAAAGCCCAATAACAGTCATCTTGTTAACATACAAAAATCTTATTACTCTATTATAGCTTCATTTATCCTATAGTGTCTGACATAAAATCATAAACTCCTCTATTACAGAGGCCATGTATATATATATATATATATATATATATTCTATCACAATACCACAGAACAATATTGAAATAATAAAAATGGAATGGATTTCTACCACAAAATATTATGCTCTGATAGGTATTTCTATGTCATGATGCTAAGTACAGGCCAGGTGGGATATTTCTTACCCCACAACTTTCGATGGAAAGCATTTTTTTTCAAATTGCAGTCACATTCTAAATTCCAAATAACTGATAATCCTTTAATTACTTTTAAAACCACCTGTTGACGTTTCAGGCTATAAACATTTCATTGTTAATAAAGACAAATTCATTGATTGTCAGTTTTATAATAAACATGGCAAAAGACCCAGTGATAGAATGAATATTAGACAAAAAAAACAATGTATTCTCACCTTCATTAATGGAAGAAGAATTTAATAAGGTGCAAAGATTATATCCAAATTTAGTGCTTTAAAAATGCATGATGCAATCAAAGTATTACATCTCATTGATGCATGATTAGTTTTACATGAAGAAGTGATAATTGGGCTGAAAAGTAATGGCAATAGCAAATGATACATGTGCGATCTACGTAATGATGTAATAGAGACTTTCCATGCAGAGTAAGGTAACCAGACTTAGCAAACAAAAGCACAGAATGTATCTTTGCCTTAAGAGAGGAGAAATAGATATTATTTTCCTTATTCTTCCCAATAAATGCAGCTAAAAAACCTACTCATGGTATATAAAATAGTATTTAAAATTTTCTTTATTAAATAGAGACCTAAGAAGGGCCAGATATTTAGCTCAGTGGTTTCACTGCCTGCATTGGAAGAGCAAGGATCGGAGATCAATTCCCCATACCAGAGAGAGAGAGAGGAGAGAGAGAGAGAGAGAGAGAGAGAGAGAGAGAGAGAGAGACCTAAGGACCAATGGGACAACATGTGGTGAGTTCCTTTGTTTTTCCTTTTATCTCATACATTCCAGACTTGAAGCTAAAGAAGATACTAACCTAGAAATGCTGAAAAACACATACAGATGAAAATGCCCTAATAAAAGTCTGCTTTCCAGGCACAGAAACAAGAAAGAGGATAAGTAGATAAACAGAAAACCTTAGAAAATAACTTATGTACCACAGCCAAACATCACTGAAAAAAAAAAAAAAAGTCTACATCTTTATACCTACCCATACCAGTCAGGAAAAGGCTAAATAGGGATTTAGACTTCCACTTTGTCCCTAATTTCATGAGGTTGTCTTAACTGCCACAGTTGTGTTGGGGAGGGCCAAAGATGCATCCTGGACCTTCACACTTGAGCAGAAATGTGGTCACTTCTTACCTGACTGCGACTTGCCTTAGTACTCGCTGTATTCGTGTAGATGATGTGAAGACTGTGGCCCTCTGCCTCCACCCAGTAGTAACAAGCCTCCTCTCCATCTTTCCACTGGGGCTGTTGTTAGACAAAACTTTCTGGAGTCGGGATTGCCATTGTCACTGGATGATGACAAGGTCATTGCCCTCTATGATGTCATTGGAGATAAGATGGGTAGAAAAAATGGTCATCTTCATGAAGCAGTAACAAAGAATAAGGGGAAGACAAAGTTCATAGTACAGATGAACAAAGATTAACCGTTCTATTTTTTTCATAGTGAATTAACCAGAAACTACTTTAAGAGTAACCCCTGGACAGCTATTTTGACTTTGATATGGCAAGATGGTGGGAAGATCTAAAAATAAAGGTGAAAATCCAATGCAGCTTGATGATAGCTGGTAATCAGACAAGAATCTTGGTTCAGTCTTAAATTACCAAAAGAAATTAAAATCCTAATGTATATTTAACTGTTAATGTAGAGAGGGAAAGTTCAATAGAAACAGAAAACAACTTTTTATAGAGGGCAACTAAATCAATATCCATAGTTGACCTAAAAACAGCTTCCAAAAAGCATTCAAACTCAGCAATTGTTTACAATTTAAAGCAGTAATGGGCAGGCACCACAATTTTCCGCCTATTTTGGATGGCAATGAAAAGACGGTAGAAACCTTGGAACTGCATTTGAATCTGGCAATGAGTAGGTGACAAATCTTCACCTCCTGGAGAACTGTTGCAAATGTCAGCTAAAACAAAAGATATGAGTAAGATTCTAAGTCTCATAATAAATGTTTCTTTTGAAAATCATCCTTCACACTAAGAACCAGGAAGATCTTAAAATGAATGGCAAAAGATAATCTGTAAATACAAACACTGAGAAGATAGAGAGGTTAGAGTTAATTAACAAAGATTATAAAACAGCTACGACAAAAAGTGGTTCAGTGTGTAAGGAGGAGAACACTGAAACAAATGGAAAATTAGTAGGGCCTTAGTAAGAAAAGTCTTACTTAACCAGAAGTTACCGAAAAGAACCAAATAAAAGTTGAATTAGAATTGCATACAAATAGTGACATAAAGTTTGGTGGATGGAATCAGTGACAGAATGGAGAAAACAGAGAGAAAAAAAGAAATTCCTAAGTCTTAATGACAAAGAGATATTAAAATTAAGCTTCAAAAGTAGATGTGGGAAAGATGGCTTGCTTTTATAGCCCTAGTTACTACTCAAGTATCACTTGAGTTCAGCTATTTGACTTTACCCTGAATAATATAGGAAGAATAAATTTGTCTCAGAACAAAGAAAGAAAAAGAAAAAGGAAAACAAAATTGCTGAAAGCTGAAAATTTAAAAAAAATCTTGAAAGCATTAACATAAAAATAGACATTTTATTTATAAGAAAGAAATGCATTGATAGTGCAAAGCAAGATAAAATGAAAAACAAAAACTGTTAAATTCGATTATTTTAGATATTCAAAACACTAATAAATATTGAAAGTAAGCTCAAAGCATTCTTAGGTATGGAAAAACAAAGAATTAATTTCCAGCAAATATAGATTAAGAGATATATGTACAGGGAAATTCCTAAAGAAAGAGAAAATGGTTAAAGAAGGAAAATGGATTGTCTAGAAGAATAATGACCAAGTTAACAAAAAAAGGATATATGTAACAGGATATCTCTTATTTTCTTAAGTTTTATAAGATATGTCAGATATTTGAAGAAAATATAATATTGTGTGGTTTAGGTCTAAATATCTGCAGTGCAGAAATTTTAATTTGCAATTTTAAATCATGGTGGGTAAAGAGACATAAAGCAAGTTGAGATTTCTATACTCATTTAAACTAGACTATGATAAGTGGTGCTTATATAATACAATATCTAAATCAAGCACTGAAACAGCAGTGGAAAGAAATATGACATATCCTCAAACACAACAGTAAAACAAGATAAAAGTGAAAAATGTTCAAGTGATCTGCCTCAAATCAAAAAAACCTCAGAGAAAATAAAGCAAAACAAAAAGAAGAAACTAAGATAACAAACAGATGACAAAAAATACACTACCAGACTTAACCCATATTATATGTTATATTAAATTAATGTGTAATAAACATACCAATTCAAATGTAGAGATTGATGGAGTAAATTTTAAAAATATAACCTAACTATGTGTTGCCCAACAACAACAAAAAAAATCACTTCAATTATAATTATTTAGATAGGCTGAATATAAGTAATGGGCAAGGATACATTATAAAAAGTTCAATCAAAGACCAATAGTATAGCTATTTTCATACAAGATAAAATAGATTTCAGATCAATGATCAAATGATAAAAATGTTAGTATAACAAAAAATTATAGCAATTATATATTTTATACACCAAATAATGCAACTGCCAAATGTGAAGCAAAACTAATAGAATTGAAAAAATAAATGTATAAACTCATAATCAACATTCCTATTTAACTGATAAAAACAATTATTCAAAAAATAAATAAAAATAAAGTTAAAAACTCAACACCATTAACAACAGATTATATTGCATATTTATAGAACATATTATAATGGCAAAATAATCATTCTTAAGTATTCATAGAACATATATCAAGGTAGAATATCATCTGAGTTATTAAAAGAAAATAAAAAAGAATTTAAATGGAGTTCTCTTATCACTGTGAAATCAAAGCAGAAATAAAGCATGAGAATTATTACTGGAAAAATTTCAAAGAGTTGGAAACTAAATAGTCCATAGATCAAAGAAGAAATGGAAAATGAAAAAAAAAACTCAACAATTTCTTGGCTGAAAATAAATGAAAAAAAAAGCCATATCAAAGTTTATGAGATACAACTGAAGAAGTTCTGAGAAGAAAAATGTTATTACTAAGTGTATATTTTTGGAAAGAGAAAAGATAGCAAAGCAGCAATTTTCAAGTTATAACCTCAAAAAAATCTAGAAAAATAGAGCAAGCTAAATAAAAAGCAAACAAAAAAGAAATGCAAAGGTAAGATTAGAAATAAATAAACTTAAACTAAACTAAAAGAAAATTAGCTGAACAAAGCTTTGTTTTTAAAAATAAAATTAACATGTCACTAGCAAAGCTAAGAAGAAAAAAGATGGAAGACAAAAATTACCAATAGCAGATGTTAAATTATACATTTTTAGAAACACTGCAACATCAAATTGTAGTAGGAACACTACACCCAACTCTCGCATATAAGTTGACAATTTAAACAAATACAACTTCTGTTTGATAAATACAAACTACCACAGCATTCACTATGGGAAATAGATAATTTTAATAATCTCATAACTATTAATTAAGTGCTCTTGATAATCTGAAAATTTTCCCTAAAAGAAATACCTACTTCTGTATAGTTTCACTGGAGAACTTTAAAAAATATTTAAGAGTGAAATATTATACACAATAAATCATCTCAGAGTAAATAGAATCAAAGGAATACTTACTAACATATTTTATCAGAAAATATTGCATCAAAACAAAAACTAGATAATAAGCATATTAGAGGCAATGAAAATGATCAATATCTTTCATGAACATTAATGTCAAAAGAAAGAAGGGAATGGAATTAATATGAGAAAAAGAATAAAATGCAAACAATGTCTTTGTAGATAGGGAGGGTGAAGGGGTGAAAAGGAAAGCAGGGGAAAGAGGAAAAATGAGAACCAAGGTGGATTGTGTAATGGTGCAAATTTCCAATGATGAATGTCCTTATACTGTATACCTAAAATGTACCAATAAAATTAATTTTTAAAATATTTAACAAAACATTATCAAATATTTAAAAAAACATTAGCAAATAAATCTATCAGGGTAAAAACCAGTTTTCCACCATAACTTGGAAAATCTTATTCCATGTGTGCAAGGCTGGTTCACTGCTTAAAAATCAGTAATTGTAAGCCTCCATATTGAAAATCTAATGAAGAAAAACTTGCAAGCATATCAATTGATGTATAAAAAGCATGTAACAAAATTCAACACACATTCATGATTACAATTCACAAAAAACTAGGAAAGAGGAATTTCCACCACTTGATAAACATACCTACAAAATTCCTAAAGTTGAGATTATAGTTCATAATAAAAGCATGAATACTGCTGCCTTAAGTGAGGAACAAGGCAAGGGTGTCAATTTTTAGCACTTTTATTAAATATGGTGCAATAAGTTCCAGATAGAATAGTAAGACAGGTGAGTGATACAATATATATTAAAAAGACAGCAAAGGGAGAAATTAAAGTTCTACACAGACATAGAAATTGTCTATGTAGAATATTCTCTGTGTTCAAAACAATAAAAAAGGAAGAAAAGGAAAAGTATCTTAGAGCTATTAAGGAAGTTCAACTAAGTTGTAAGATACAGGAAAATACAGAAAAATCAAACACATTTCTGTATGCAATTAAACATATGAACACTAAAACTTAAAAGTCCAATGCCACATATGTAATTAAAAATGAAATAAATTATTTGGGTATTAATCTATCAAAATATGCATAAAATGTGAGACTTTGCAATATTGATAAGACAAATCAAAACCTGAGTAAATTGGGAGATATATAATGCTTTTGAACTAAAAGCCTAAACATATAGGTTAAGATTTATTCAAATTGGCTTGTAGGCTTTACAAATCATTTGGAAAAGCTTGGGTATATTTTTGTTATAGGTGCATACAAAATTATTCAAAAGTTTTTGAGAAAGGAAACACAATAGCTTTTTTTTTTTTTTTGCTAAAGAATAAAATAGAAAACAACAGTTCTACCAAATTGCATGACTAATCTAACTATGGTAATCAGGATTGTACTGTTTTGTGGGCACATAAACTTACAGGTTAAGGGTGTCAAAATAATCAATTTATAGAAGGAAATACAATCTTTTAAATAAATGATGAGGAAGAAATTAGGCAACCATAGACCAACAGAAGCAAACATAATGTAAATCAAATAAAAATGGATCATAGGTGTAACTATAATTTGTAGAAGTAGGAAATCTTCCGAAAAAGTGAGAGAACAACCTCAGTGTCTAGAGGTAGGAAAAAGCTTTCTTAGAACTGATACCAAAAGCATCATCCAGAAATGGAAAATTTGTTATCCCGAATGATGTCAAAATTGTTGGCTTTTGTTTT